TACATGTTTTATTTTTGGTTGTACATTTGTTACTTATTTTTTAATAAGTTCAGTGTGGTGGTTGGGTGGATAAAAAGCCAATGCAGCAGTAAATTGTTTAAAAACATGTAACATTCAACTGAATGCATATGCAGCTAAAAATGTATTCTCTATAAATGAACATAAAAAAAACTTAAGAAACAAGTTTAGCAATAATTGTTAACTTAAAAAGGGGGAATATGAATCATCAAAAAAGTACTGAAAAATTTGAATGAAAATGCAAAGATGATATTTCTAAGCCTACAACTAGGGACTCTTTTAAAAAAAAAAAAAAGGCTGAAAATAGTGTACATTATTTTTTCAAGCTATAAATTCCTATTTTGACTCCTCTAAAATTGATAACTACTGTAGACATGGGGTCAAATTAGGGATTTGTAACTTGAGAAAATAATGTACACTATTTCCAGCCTTGTTTGTTTACTTTTTTAGAGTTCCTAGTTGTAGGCTTAAGAAATATAATTTTTGCATTTTGATTCAACTTGTTTCTGTTCTTTTTCTTCTCCCTTTTTAAATTAAAAGTTTTTACTAATCTTTTATATTTTGAGGAGTAGTAGCTAACAATAAATAGTTTCTTCACCATACTTCATTATTGTAATATATTTTATTGCTTATCTTGCTGCACAGGTATGCCATAGACAGAATTGGGGAATACTATAAGAGAAAGGAGGAATTCCTAGACTTGTCAGAAAATAAGTATGTGGAAAACGTGAGCTAACTATCCAAATCTGTGCATCAGAGTTAATTCTGATTTTGTTCTACCAGGAAATAAAAGAGATTAATGTAAAAATTATTTTATGCTATATATATTAAAGTTTGAGTAATATGTAAGCGGAACCTTTAATTTTAAGTGTGAATATTTTTAAATGGTTTTTACTCTTTCATAAATCATTGACCACTCGACAACCAAACCAGAAATAGGTTATATTTTTTTATGAGTATTAGATTACCTTAGAATATAGAAATATATAAAGAATATTCATTTTAAATCATCATAAGAGAAATAGTTTTTGTTTTTATTGTACCTTACAAATTCAAAGCAAATATGATGCTAACAATATTGCTTGACCTCTATAAAGTGAAAGCCTAGAATTGACAAGTTGTAGGCAATGATGTATCATATGCATGTTTATTCAATAGTACTGAAATATGCAGTGTATTTATGAAAGTATAAATCTGCATGTGTGTATGTATTCATTTATAGACCCAACAATTTATGAATAATGGACCATATGCTAGATCAGTTGGATTTGTGAATTGTATGAATAAAAAAAAATCTTTGTTTTCCTACTTTGAGACTTGATTTTATAGTATAGTCAGAGCAAGTAACAACTGAAATGTTTCAGTAAAAAAAACAAAAAACACAGCTACAATGCATTTTGGATTTCATAAAATGACCAAAACATGACATTAACAAAAATTTCATATTGTAGGCATCTAGGGACAGCCACAGTGCATTCTGGCTGTTTGTCAAAGTACTAAAACACGAAAAAGATCTTATTTGTCATTGTGGCTGTTTTGCTTCCATCTAAAACATATTTTGGGAAATTTAGGATTGCTACAACACCTTGTTATCATTTTGTAAATCATTCCCAAATCAAACTGCATGTCTCAAAGTTAAAAATAATCTCAGTATTTCAGCTTCTTTATTTAAAATGCAAGGTTCCAAAAGTTACACGATAATATAACAAGTTATTCTGAGATCTGTGTGAAGCTATTAAAATAAACTTGACAGTAAGCTAACAAAATGAAGTTGTTCTGTTTTTCTATCTAAATTTTTGCTACTGTGGCAGTTGGATTTATTAGTTTTGCACACATTTGCATTTTTCGTTGTTGAAGCAAAGCTTAAAACTGCAGTAAATGAATCCTTTAGTTGGTCCAGGTTTTGCACTTGCAACTGAGTGAAGTATAACACTGATAACATCTTCAAGACTTGAAAACGTTTGTCATTTCTGGCTTAAAACTGGTCCAGCTGAATTAACACTCATAATGACATAAAGAACCTTTTTCAGAGCAAGTCTTTCCCAGTCAAGTTGTGGAATGCAAACAATGACATTTTGTCCAAATTCTGTTTTACTGCATGACCATTTTTTCAGCCTCTTTTCAAAGTTCTGTCTTTGAATCTTGTTTATTTTTCTCTCTAACCATCTTCTTTTTCCTCACTTTTTGCACAAATAACATGCACAATTCTTTTACACAAGAAGCATTTCAAGGTCTTCTCTGAACATAGCATCCTGGCTGATTGAGTAGGACTTGTCACAGTATATCTACCTTTAGTAAGTTACTCAGAAACCCATCCTCAGTAAGTAGTAAGTGCAAACAATGAGCAACACAATGCTATGGTTATTAAAAAAAAGTCTTGATGTTTTCATAACATTTGCTGCACCATTAGTTACAGCATGCAATTTTTGTTAGCTTGCATCTTTTCCAAAAAACTCAAAGATAACTTCTCTCAGCTTTTCTTTCAGATTTACAGCAGTGTGGCCTTCTAGTGGCCACAGCTCAGTGTGAAAATATGAACTTCCCAATCCAACAAGACTGCAACCCACACTCCTAGGAAAGGCAGCTTTTGATGCTTGTCTGTCCACCCATTAAACATAATAGTGGCAACTTCAGTCTTGATTAGCTGATGTCTGATATCCTGCTGAATTGTTTTATACACATCCACAAGCGGGGGCCTTTCCCAATGTTAACTTGTTTGGCAAATGAATACCAAAATGTTTTCTGTGAATTTTCTGAACCCTGTTTTTGCACAATGGTGAATGGTAGCAAGTCGTCACTTAGCCACAGAATACAATTTCTGAGTATGCTACAGTAGGTTTAAGCTGCCAGTAATTTGTAAGTGTGTTGATTTGCTTCTTTACTATTTTTTTCTGTGTTTGTGTCTATTCTGTGTATCAAAAAGAGATTAACCTTCATGTTGCTAGTCGCTATTCCTTCCTCAAGCCTGTGGGTACGGGATATATGAGCTGATTTATTTTAACTTCAGTAGTTCTTGCTCATCTGTTGAACACGGTCGACAGTAATACACATCTTTCTCCACAATATTACCATTTTCTTCCACAACAGTCCATAATACTGCTAAGCTGCTTTACCTTACTTGTTATTACGTGTTTGTACGCTATTAATTTGGCATTTTGGGAAGCCAAATTAACTGACACATTGCCATTTGTGTCTTTACACTTCCCTGACCCCAAACAGTTCAACTGCAGACTCATTTGGACTTCCTGGTGTACGATGGGATCTACAAAAAAATTTTTTGATTTTATTACTAATTCAATTTAATAATTTCATCAAAGCAATAAGAATTTAGATATATCCACTTAAATAGTCAGTGGCAGAATACATTAAAATAGTATTATTTCATTGACAAATGAACATCAGAGTAATAGATTTGAGAAAATGTTTTTGTTATCCTTTATTATTATTTATATTACATTATTTTAATAAGATTTATTTTATATTATATATTTTGTAGATTGAAGTAAATAATAATAAGGAAAAGCACAAGTCTCTCATAACTGGTAATATTTTATAGTTTAGTAAATACTGTTTTGGGGTCTGCAGACCTCTATACCTTCAGATTACACCCCACTGTAGCCTTTTTTGTACCCCCTATGGACTTGCCCGCTTCTGTGTGTACTATGCCTAAAATGTAGTATGCACACAAGGAATAGACTCACCCGTTCAGTTTTTATGGGTGACAGGTTGCACCATTTTGGTTACAATTCAAACGGATCTTTCAGAGCATTTACACTGTAGTTTTAGTTAATATCACAATAAACTCAGTTTAATAATATATGGTAATAAAGACTAATGTAATTCTTTAAGTATATTGGTGTTATAAGGGTGTTTCAAGTGGTTACAGCCACATGCATTGCTGATAGATGTAGGTATAGTTAACATTAGTAGTTACTTAGGGTAGATCTAGTAGAATCGTAGATTAAGCCTCAATTTCAATTTGCCTGACTGACATTTGTAGATGTAAGCACAATAAACTTGAATGCTTTTCTAATCAGAGAGGATGTAAGAATCTAATAAACACAGATTCAAACTTGTTACTTACAAGAAATGATGACAGTCAGTGTAAAACTTATAAAAAGCTCTAGTCTAGAAGTTGAGGTTGGTGGTCTTGCACGCTCGACAGTACCTGTTTTTGTTGTTGAAAGCACACACTCTTATGAAAATGAGCATATACGCCAATGGCTGAGCCATTCAGTAGTTATTAGCAGCTCAAGAAATAATCAGTGGCTGCTGGGGCCACAAAAAAATAGTGACAGATGGCACAAATCAGTGGCAGCTCCCAGGTCTATCTATTTCTCAATACCGATTAAAATGCATCTTTGGTTTGTACTTTTACTTTTGTGGTCAAGCATCTTAAATGCGTTAGTTAATTCTACATAATATTTTGTCATATTGCATGAATGTGTGCTATACGTGACCATTTTTATGACATATATTTCTTGCTCATTGAAAATAACAAAAAATGCCACAGTGCTTCTAACTTCTTTTGTTGTATTGAATAATGCTTACAATGACCCATCTTAAGTATCTTGACTTCACTACACTATATTGTAAATTTAATATAGACTGAATAATGGTCTCCATGATTAATTGCCTTACAGTAATAGTAATTTTACTCGTTACTCCTATATCATCACTATGTAATGTGTTTTATACTTTCTCGATAATTATGATGAATACACACATTATTTCTTACTCATTAAACTGTACGATCTGATGAAGAGTGTTAGCTCGAAACATCATCCTTCTTTAAATAAAAATATAAAAAAACTTGGTGATTGTTCAACCTATTATTTAATTTTGATATTTTTGTTGCCTATGCAGTTTTAACTATATTTGTCTAATGTTCATTTCTTACCAACTTCTTTTGTGCGAGCCATTCTCCTCTTGTTTGCATTGTATTGATATGTGCCTTTTGCTATACTTTATCTTGCCACAATTCTGTACTAGCATCTCAATCTTGTTATTACCACTGGAATAAATTAGACAATCCAAATCAAGCCAAGCATTGCAAAAGTAGTAACATCATATGCTGCAGATTTTAGAAAATGTCTGTCTAGCTGCTCCAAGAGTTTCTGCACCTATCACTTCATATTTATTTAAACACCTGTAATGCTGAGAGGTTAAAGCCTCTATTTCTTTTGAAGTTTTTAATTTTTTCACTTCAGGCTAGCATGGCTGGTAGTTATGGTAGGTTGTACGATTGAAACTGGTCCTTTAACATGCTCACCCCCTTTAGTCATAGGGGTGCTATAATGTAACAGTCAATCCCACTATCATTGGTAAAGAGTTGGAGGTGGGTGGTATTGACTTTTTCTATTGACTATAGTCTATAACTTCAAAATTACAGATGGTTAGCACAGATGACACTTGAGTAGATTTGCAACAAATTCAACAAACACAATTTTTCACTTTAAACATTAATTCTTGGTATCACTGTTTAGTGAGTATGATACTTCTCTTCAAATTATGTTTTGTAACTAACGTCAGTACGTAATTATCAGAAAGATTTCTCTTTTAAAGGATTCTGCAGCAAGTAACACTTTTTTTATTTCATGTTACTATTCTTGTACTAAAGAGTGAAGAGAAAAGGTAACAAGTTTAGACACATAGTTTGGTTTGTGGTTGACTTACAAACCATCAGTGCATTATGGGTGGATACAAAATAGCCATAATGCATTGTAGCTGGTTTTTTACAAAATCCATAACACACTATAGCTGTTTTTTGGGTGGTTGTTTTTATTGTGGAAAATTTAAGACCATATTAACATTCCTCTGATTTCTGCAGAGATGAGCCACAGTGCACTACTTTGCATAATGAAGTGCAGTTTAAGCCAATGCAACTTAAACTTAATATACTGGAGCATGTGTATAAATTACTTACAGAAATATGTCATATCTATGTTAAGCCTAATTTAGCTAAATAATTAGTGTTGAAATCTACTGTTTGAAGCATGGTTAGAAAATCGACCTTGCAGTAATAAGTGTTTGGACTGAAGATTTCATCAAAATAGACATCTCCATTTAGGTAACTGAAACTTTATTTTACGAACATTTTGGTGGTTGTGCAGTTCACAGTATTCATGGTTAATAACAACAAACTGATTCATTTTAATGACTGTTCCATACAATAAAGTAAAATTAATTTTCATTGTGGTATTAAGTTTGCAAGACCTAATACTTATTGCATATTTTTAACAGCTAAACCACAGTATAAAAAAGGGGAGCTAAATGTAATAATCAATGTAAGAGTCAGAGATAAATCCAATTTGTTGCTTTAAGTATAATATTTGTAAAAAAAAATAACATTGCAAACAAAATAAATATGGTATTTTTATGCAAATTACCATGTTTTCACAATTTTTTGTGGAATGTTTGAATAAATCATTGGGGTTGTTAACCTGTTACGATGATGGACTGCAAAGTTCTCTAAAACATTGGTGAAATATTTGCTTAAATGATTTGTTTGGAGTTTGAAAAACTGTAAGAATGTAAACTTGCAGTTTGTCAAGTGTGTACACAGATTCAAGTAATTTTGTTTAACATGGTTATTTTCTTAAAAACATCATGTTTTGCTATATTAGCAGTATATGCTTTACATCAAAAAATTATCAGATTGTGCCATATATTGTTACATGGAATTATTTTAATTTTTTCATTGTTTATTTATAAAATTTACATTTTATTAGATTTTTAGTATCCTAGTTGTAGCCTACAGCTAAATCTGATGATTCAAGTTATTTTTCCCATTGTTTATTTATAAAATTTACATTTTATTAGATTTTTAGTATCCTAGTTGTAGCCTACAGCTAAATCTGATGATTCAAGTTATTTTTCCCATTGTTTATTGATTGTAGAAAGTTGCATATTAATTTACATTATATTCATTATTTTGAAATGTACATTTACTTCTTATTTGCTGTTCAGTAAAGAGTGGGTTTTACATTTTATGAATGTTTTTTAAAATATTAAGTCCATAAGTTTAAGAATAATTTGCATGTATTAAATATCATCTTGAACTGACTTATCCAACTAAGGAACCACTGAAAGTTAAGGGATGTTCCACGAGATTCTTAGTAGCTTGTGAGTGTAAATTCAAGGTTAAAAATTTGATTTTTAAAAGAGGTAAACTTCAATCATAATAGCTTGGTAAGTCTCTTAATATGTCACATTGTTAAATTATTAAGCTTATGCCCAGATCTTAAATAACACCTTAATAACTTATGATAACAATTTTTGTAACACACATTCGGGACAAGTAATACTCTAGTGTTTTGAGATTTCTCATATTTATCCTTAGAATGAAATTTGGACTGGAAATCCATGTGTTAACTTACACGTACCATACAGGTAGCTAAGTAAATTCCATCTATCTTTTCCATTAACACAACTATATTTAATTCTAACTATTATTCTTTAAAGAATGAGTCTGACTACCTTTTATCACATAACCAAGATACCTAGCAATACTGAGTTTAGAAATTAATGTTATAAATGGGCATGAGAACTGTTCATCCATTGCATGTTCCCGTGAAATGCGTGTATATTAAATGTCACTGTTGTTTGCTTTCAATCTCACCTATTTTGTTACTGACCTATTCACTCAGCTTAGCCCTCATTTACAGTATTAAAGAAGTAATATTGAAATGGCTGTCAAACTCAAACCATTCATCTAATTTATAATCTATTTAAAATTTTTCTCTCTCTGTGGGAGTCCACCTGAGTTCCTTTGCCAAATTTCATTGGAATTGGTTTTTACCAGTTCCTCACAACAATTTTTGACATCAAATACACACCAACAACTCTCCTTTATAGGTATAGACAAAATTGATAGGCATCTAATGGACCAATCTGTTACTAAGCACAAATTAAAACCAGAATTATAAATTATAGCATCATGCTGGAACATTGATTTATATGTGAAACCAAGTCATCCATATCAACTAAGTTATTCTCTATCTTAGTAAGGAAAGACATAGTGATATTGTATTGCTGGTTTATTTCTGAAACCAAGTCATCCATATCAACTAAGATGTTCCATATGTTAATAAAGAATGATATGGTGTGAAGCTGTGTCACTGTTTTACTTTTGAAACTAAGTTGTGCATATCAACTACAATGTTCCATATGTCAGAAGAGAAAGATATGATGCTGCTGTAACGGTAGTTTGTTACTGAAACCAAGTCATCCATATTAACTACAATATTCCATATGTTAGAAAGGAAAGATATGGGGATGCTGTAACATTGTTTTTTCTTAAAACCAGGTTGTGCATATCAATTAAGATGTTTCATATGTTAGCAAGGAAAAATGTGATGATGCTGTGACACTGGTTTGTTTCTGAAACCAAGTCATCCAATAAACTAAGAAAACTAAATTACACATAGTTTCAAAACAAATAAAACATTTATATGAAAAAAATTAACCTACTATTTTGAATGTTTAATTCTCAGTAACTTATGTAAATTTTAAGGTTATAATTTTGTTTAATTAATGATGATTAAGAGACTACAGGTAGGTTTCAATGGAAACTGATTATTGTAAGGATTAGTTGTTGAATATTAATATTTATAATTTTTAAAATTGTAAAAATATTTCTGGTTTTCTTTAGAAGAGTCAAGACAAGTAACTTATTTAATGTCATCCTTACATGAATGCAAGAATATATATACTATGTACATTTACATATAAGTTTAATCTTCATCAACATTGTGGTACATTAAGGTGTATGCTTAAGAAATTCTGGAATACGTATTTTCAACTTGACATTATTAAAGCTGTAAAGAGGCCTGGGGTTTGAATCCCCATCACACCAAACGTGCTCACCCTTTCAGCCATGGAGGTGTTATAATGTGAAGGTCAATCCCACTATTCATTGGTAAAAGAGTAGCCCAAGAGTTGATGGTGGGTGGTGATGACTAGCTGCCTTCCCTCTAGTCTTACACTGCTAAATTAGGGACGGCTAGCACAGATAGTCCTTATGTAGGTTTGCACGAAATTCATAACAAACAAACAAAGCTGTAAAGCAAAATCCTAATGGCAGCTTGATAATTTAACTTTGCATACACCCATGTATACATACAGAGCTCGGAGGTCATATTTTCACAAATAATTTGTATACTGTACTGCATCTTTACACCATTAAGTAGTACAAAATGTAATTAAAACAAATTATTACTATAGATTCTATAACACACACCTTGATGGAAATTTTATACTAATAATAAAACCTAAGTTTGTTTTTGAGTAAGTGTAATGATGTCCTTTTGAAAATACCACAAGCTTGTATCAAGATACATTGCAGTTTATATATAAAAATTAAGAAACTAAAAATATTTTGGAATAACTTAATTATTCTTCAAGAAAAAACAGGCTTTTTTGTAACTTAAGCATAGTAACCAGTTTAAATACAAATGTACAAGATTTAACATACAAAATTATAATTTCAAAACTAAAGTTATACAATAAAAATCTAAGATTGACTGTTTCATTTGTTTATACTTGATAATGTTTCAAATTTTATTTTGGTAAGCAACGAGTACTGTAGTAATAGTACTTTGAAGAGTATCAAAACATGCCTTAATACATGAAAATGATAAACAATGAATACGCACAAATATTTCTCTATAATAAAAAGAATGTATTATAAATAACATCCTCTTTTGTTGTTTATTCAAACAGAATATTTTTGTGAACATGAATTATAAAAATCACGAGAGCAATGAATCAAACATGTATAAGAATCTCATGATGTTGAATAAATTTTCTGTAAAATAAGCTACCAAGATGATTCGGATTGTACATCCATTAAAGCTTTTTCCACGCTCTCTACAGACAAGTTTATGTCACTTATTTCACTGATTTCATCTTCCCCTATTCCCTCTTCTTTGTTCACTTCATTCTGGTTTTCATAAGCTACTGTATTTGAATTTTGTCTTGTTTCTGTTCTTTCCACGTTGTCCGACAAAAACATATATTTCTCTTGTACACAATCTACATGTCCTGGAACAGATGTGCTGTTAGATTTTTCTCTCACTTCAGTAAACCCTGTCTTTTCTTGGAATGATTGTTTGGAATCATCAAGGTCTCTATGTAAAGATTCTCCCAAGTTTTCTATTCTTGCTGAAGAGGCAGATTTAAAAATGGGTTGCTGTGGGGTGCTGTATGAATCCATCTTCGGAGAAGTATTTTTTTTTAGTAACAATTGAAACTGGTTCAGAAACATGTGAAGTGTGAATGGGGCTGAAAGGTGTGTTCAAGCTACTTTCTAAAGATTTATTAGAATTCAATACTGGATCAGGTAAATTTCGATGCTTATTTAAAAGAACTGTGTCAGGTTCGGCTTTATTAGTTCCTGTTTCCTTAACTAAGTCTATTTCTTCATGGGGAACTTCATTCTTATCTGTAAGTGTCACAATGTTCTTGTCATCTCCCTCTAATAACACTGATTGGGACTTTGGAAGGGTTTTTGTAATTTTAGTTGTAGTAGATTTTTTATTTTCTAATGAAGTGTCCAAATTATTTACTGGTTTTGTAAGATAACTTCCTATTTCACTTTCAGAACTTTTCAAAATAGGGACTTGAGCTTTCCAAACAGCATCAAGATTAACTATAGATTTGCTATTATTAGATGGTTCTTTACTCGGTAGAACATTTGAAAGGGTGGATGTTTGTGTTTTCCATTCTTTATCAAGATTAATAGGAGCTTCAGTACTTTCCAAAAGCTTTTCACTTTGTAAAACTTTAGAAGTGGTGGATGTTTGTGTTTTCCATTCTTTATCAAGATTAATAGGAGCTTCAGTACTTTCCAAAAGCTTTTCGCTTTGCAAAACTTTAGAAGTGGTGGATGTTTGTGTTTTCCATTCTTTATCAAGGTTAATAGGAGCTTTAGTACTTTCCAAAAGCTCTTCACTTTGTAGAACTTTAGAAGTGGTGGATGTTTGTGTTTTCCATTCTTTATCAAGATTAATAGGAGCTTCAGTACTTTCCAAATGCTGTTCACTTTGTAGTATTTTAGAAGGAACGGACCTTTGTGTTTTCCATTCTGTACCAAGATTAACTGGTTCTTCAATGGGTAGAAGTTTAGAAGAGGTAGATCTTTTGGATTTCCATGCACTATCCAAGTTAACTGGTGTTTTAGTAAGTTCTGAATCTTTACATGAGTTAGACATTTGATTCTCCCATGCTGCATTCAAGTTAACTGGTATTTTTTTAAATTCAGGTGGTTCATTAATTTCTGAACTATTAGATGTTAATGGTAGCTGGGTTTTCCATTCTGTATTTTGCTTAATTACTGATTCTACAAAACCATGTCTCACTTCATTTTCTAAGTCTTTGGAAGTTGCCTGGCCTAACCTTTTCTCTTCATCTGTGTCCTGACTGGAAGAATCAGGGTTTTTATCTTTAGAAACAGAAGAATCATGTTCTAAAAGTGATTTGAGATCTTTAAAACAATCTTGCGGCCCAATTGGTTGTTTGCATTCAGAAGTTTCACCCATAACTGTATCAAACTTTTGTTGCATGTTTAATAAATCTAAACTATTATTGCTTAAACGTTTGCCTTTGGAAGCTTTTACTGGTGTACTTACTGTAGGACTGGCATCATCATCCTTAGGAATATATTTTGAAATTGGGTTAAAGAAATTTTTAGTCTTGTTAAGAATACTGCTGCTTACCTTGTCAGGTAATGTTACATGTTGCATATCATGCTCTCCTTTTTTCTCTAGAATGACTTCTTCACTGGTCACATTTGTTAAGAATGCTTTGTCTGGTGGAATTCTGTATGAAGATGAAGCATTTTTTAATAAATATGAGTATGAATCTAAAGAGCGGTTTTGCAAATAGTGATTATACCTGCTATCTAATACTTCTGATTCTTGCTGTAGCCTTTTAATCCTGTGCTTGGCCTCAGATAAAAACTTAGCAGATTCATTCTTTATATAACTTTGGTTCATAAAGGGATATGTTGGTGGAACTAACTGAAGCTCAGGTGGAAGATGGGTGTTTGATAATGAGGTATCGAAAAATGAACCAAGTGGGTGAAAGGTGGTGCTTGCACGTCCTACCGAAGATGTTTTATTGTGTATAGGCATTTCAATGTCTGTTGCAAGTCTTGAAGATGTGGGTAGTTGTGTCTGAGTTTCAGTACATTGTGCTGTAATAAAAGATTTGGCATCAGCATGAACTTGAGCTTCTCGTACTTGTTCCCTCAAATCTCTGATTACCAGGTTCATATCTTGAATCTGCTTCAACAGTTGTTCATTCCTGAAGCACAATAAGAATTTAAAATTAATTATATAAAAATAAGATACAGACATCTATAATATGGAAAGATTAATTACTTATGTCATTTTTTTGTGCCAAAAATAATAACTTCATACACTAACAGATCATAAATGATATATGTACAAAGTAACAATTATTCAATTTAGCAACACTTGGAATTTTATTAATTCATAAAAACTACCTGAACACAAAATATCTAAAACATTAGTAAATATACCAGAAGAACAGTTTAGTTATAATTTTGTGTTTATATTGCAACAATGAAGAAAACTAATCCAATTTTTCAAAGAAAAGCAATTCTTAAATTCAAACTATAAATTACCAGGGCTAGAAAAAATGAAAGCAAAAAAAGCTATTAAAGAAGTTTAGTTTTTAATTATATTTTTCTGTTTTCTAGGATTATTTCACTGATTTTTTTTTTCATGTATCTATTTGAGATGAGTATCGTATATTTTGGAGTTATTCTTTATGTTTTACAGAGATTTTTCAAAATTATTTTCTCTTATTACACAACAACATCCTGTTTAAAAATATAAAAACGATTTGGTTGTATTAGAGACACATCCCACAGTGTTTTTCAATTCCTATTCATTTAACATTATTATTCATCTGGGCAATAAAAGTTTCACAGATGAACACTCACTTACTTTTAAAGGGTTTACAGTGTATCTCTTTTTAACTGAATACTCTATTTCCATTTTAGCTCACAAATAGTTGAAATAATAAATATTTATGATCCAGAAGTGAAATGAAACCAACCGGACAGTGATGCTTTGTGCCAGTCGTTGGGTGTCCTCTAATTCCCTCTCCAAACGATGCCTTCTCTCCTGCCACATTCCTTCATCTAGTTTATGACTGTCTTTAATACGTTCCAGTTCTTTTTGTAGCTTACTCACCTTTTACAGAATAAATATTTATCCATTACTTTAAACATATGACATTGACAATTTTTGACACAAAATGCTAAAATCTTATTCCTTCATCATATATGTAAGTATGGAGAATATAACTTGTCAATCATATGATAATTTTATTGAAAATATTTTATCAGTGAGAGAACAATTAAAAGAAAATTAACTTCATGTTTTTTCACTTACTGAAGATAATACTTTCTAAAACAAATCATATACAAATAAATATATAAATACAAAATGATACAGTTTTTTCTAATACCATATCAATGCTTGTAAACACAGTTTCACATGCCTCATAAATGCTACAAAGCTTATTCTTTGGTAATTAGAAAAGCAATGGGTATGAAAAGTAATATATAACCCACAAATAGTTCAAAACTTTAGAAAATAAATTTTATTAACTCAATCTGTTTCTTTGTAATCCTTAATTACCTTTTGGCATCAACCAACTTCCACAATTACTCAATAACTTGGTGTTTAATAAGCGTGTTGTGATAACACAGGATATAGAAAATTATATCCTTTTTAAGATAAAAATATATAAGTTACAAATTCAAAGAATTTATTATGAACTTATACCTGCTTATAGCTTACTTGTATTTCCTAATGTTAATTTTTAATAAAACAGAGATGTACAACAAGAAGATGATATTTAAATTATGGTCAAAATCATTGATAAGTGATGAATCAGTACAGCTTGATGCTATAACTCAGGTTATGACCAGAATTTGCTTGTACAATTCCTGTACCTGCATGTTTTGGTTAAGCCATGTTACTACAACATAAACATTAAATACTGATTGACTAAAATCCATAGAAAAACACGTTACTAAGGTGATAAGAACATGTTTGTTTATTTTAGTGTAGTTATACCTTCACTCTGTTGAAATGTGAAAGAGTTAACTTTATATATTCAGTTGCAACAGATTTCACTTTCAACAAAAAATTCTTTTGTTTTCCCAAGAAAACCTCACCTCTGTTGACGGTTTGTTAAGTTTGTATTTTAATTCACGAATAGTTTCAGCAGCTTGTGCTTTTTCACTTTCTAATTCCTTTTGTAGATCTTCAAGGTAAGTTCTAGTAGAAGCCAGTTCCTTGGTGGTTGACCGCAGGTCAGTTTTGAGGACACTGTGGTCAGACAAAATTTCCAATCTGTTTAGTAAAGCTTCATTCTAGGAAGAAAAACAAAGTTACATATTCGTGAAGTTATATGTCAAGCTAACTAAGTTTAATTATATTAATATTAAGATTTGTTAATACAAAACATAGAAGCTACTTTAAAAAAGTTAAAAGATTGTCCTTCTTAAGTGAACATTTAATAATTTATTACATTTATTCATGATCTTAAACAATACAATAAAATGTTCAACATAAAATTCTTAGGAAATGTTTTTTGACATTAGATGCATAATGACACTTCAGTCTACTGGTATAGCTTTTAAGTACTTTCCCAGAACTTAGTTAAAAAGCCAATTTCTAAATAACATTATACGAAAGATCGATTCCTATAATGGCTTCATCTTAAGAGTAAAATTACTTATAAAATTCTACAATTTTGCTTCTTAAGTGGCAACTACAGAACCCCCCCAAAAAAATCAAATCTAATATTTAGACATGATAACTTTTCAAATAAGTAAAGATTGTTTTTACTTAGTAAATTTCACCAATACAACACTGTTGCACATAAATCTATGGTTTATAAAGTGTATAAGGCTAGTAGTAGAAAATGATGTTTAGAATCTTGATGAAAAATTTGGAAAAAATATTTTTTTTTATTGTTAGGTAATGCCTTTAAGATACAGATTAACTGGAAGGTATAAACAATTATGCAAACCATGAAGATGACTTCAAACTCTCACAACACCTGCCTGTGAAACTTATCTAGTAAAATGTATCTAATCATTTGTATAAAGTAGAAATGTTTTTGATGTAAGAGAAGGAAGATAAATTACTTGAATGTTATAATCTTTCACATTATACTATCATATCATGGCCTATGTATTGCAAAAATAAGCTTATTTTGTATCCTGTACATTTTATGATGTTTAAGACATTGTTGTTACAAATCTTACTTAATATGTGTACTGTTTTGTATATTGAGAAAATATGTGTATGCTTTTCACAATTGAGATGCAAATGTTCCTAAACTGTACTTTATAAAGTTCTAGTATTATCACTAAGTAAGGCATTTAACTCCTGTTTAGCTTAATGTTAAGGAATGTTTAAATTATTAACCATTTGATCAAAATATTTTTGTTGGCACTTCATGTGCAAAATTACTAATCAAAACTGAATTTTACAATTTAGGTAGTGTAAAATATTTCAAGAGCATTATGCTTGAACTGTATCTCCATGATAGTTTTAATTAGGAAAACATTTTGATCTTCATAACGATGGTCTGATATGGAAACCAAATTGTTTCCACTGCAGAAATTTCCAAGCAGTTGCAATTCATAAACAATGCTTTTGAAACTGCTAAAATGTTTATACATACCTCTAGTTGTGCTTCAATATAATGGAAACAAAAAGCATGACATACCATATATTTATCTGATTCTTCATGAACTATGCTTGTAAGCCTTAACGATTTATATTTATGTTAGAAGAACATCAAGTTATCTTTACATCTAATGTACAAATAATTTTTAATTACAGTAAATACTTCTAAATTTCTTGCTTGTTTGTAGTTAAGCACAAAGCTACACAATGGGTTATCTTTGCTGTGCCCACCACAAATATTGAAACCCAGTTTCTGGCATTATAAGTCTGCAGACTTACCCCTGTGCCACTGGGAGGCTCTAAATTTATATTCAGCATAAAGTGTTTCAACAGTTTTGTACAAGCAAAAAGCTGACAGATAATTTTTTTTTAATGACTAATTTCCATAGTAAATTTACTATTTGTAACAGGCTTGCTAGGTAAAACAAAGTTATTATATAAAACTATACAGATGATTATGATACCACTTTTAAACTTTATATTAATAGCATATAACATCAAATAGAAATTTAAGTACAACCAATTATACTTTACTTTCAACTTTTTCTTGTTTCACATAAATATGGCCCATTCTTTTGACATATACATAATAATTTGTCAGGTTTACTTAAGTATTTTCATCTTTTCATAATAAACAAACATTAATCAAAATTTGCCCTAATACATATGTAAAAAAGGTTAAAATTAAAAATCTTTCCTTACAATGAGAGTTATTCAACCTCATTTTTCATAGATAAGTACTTTTTAGACAATCTAGCGTGGCTCATTCTTTCTTCTTTTTTTTTCACTACATAGTATTTATTTTAGCCAATTTTGTCTATTTAAAGCCACAATATATATCCATCTAAATCTTAGTTTTTGAATCTTTGGACTTATAAAAACTACTGACAAAGAATCTGGAAACTGTCTTTTGGCTTACTAGTATTCTATCAATTCCAAATTCAAGTGAGTGCAAAATGTTGCTACTATTCCAGAAACTTCAACATTTACATCCGGTGGGCTTTATTTTGGTTTTTATTCAATGCTTTCATGATGTGTGCTAAATGGCACTAATGATCAGAGAATATGAGCAGCACAGCCATTGGCTTTGAGCAAATCCTCAAATTCTTTATACATAGATTTGGCTAGGTACTCAATAAACTATCCACCAGCACCTTGAAAGGTGAGAATCACAATAAAGTTACTTACTAAACTTTTGTCAGATATTTACCGATAACTGTAAATAGGTACAGTCAATATGGAGAAAGTTGTAGGATATATTTTCACCAAAATCTCATCCTGTTGCAATTATTTTTGCCATATTAGCCCAACATTAGAAATTGGCAAAGGGTGAAAAAGTACTGATAATGGAAACCTGACATGAAACTGCATTTCTATATATATATAAAAAAAAGTTAAAGTTACCTGTTTAACAAGTGCAGTCTTTTCACTATCCAAACTTTTGATGATTAACTGTAATTCTCTTAACTTTCTGTCTTTTGTTTCTTGTTCATTTTTCATTTCTTCAAGATGCAGCTTTTCTTCTTCTAAACTTCAGGAATGATAAAACAATCAAGTTTTCCAAGTAAATTAGTAACAAAGCATGGTAACACAATCATACAATACAGCACAAGTTGTTCAGGTAAACTGTAGCTAGTAATAAAGTAAGATAATACAATCATACTATACAGCACAAGTTGTTCAGGTAAACTGTAGCTAGTAATAAAGTAAGATAATACAATCATACAAGTTGTTCAGGTAAACTGTAGCTAGTAATAAAGTAAGATAATACAATC